TGTTTTTTGTGGGCCATGGTTAGATATATTCGTGCTAAATTTCATGACAGATTCGGAACAATCGCTATGCATAATGAAAAACATGCTGATGCCATCAACTAAAAAATAGAAGCAGTTAAAATTTGTAAAGTTGTAAACCACAATTTTTACTGCATCGTGCCAACAATTACAATAATCTTGGAACCGCAGATGATGCAACCGATCATGATGATACAACACATTTTCAACACCTCAAATAAGGATCAGTGAAAAGAATACCCACACTCCCATCCACATCATACCAAAGCTCACACCTGCACAGGAGTATTTGCCACAAAATGTGGCCCAACCGCAACAAGTCGCAGCAAGAGGATCTCAGACCGTCAATCACCTCGTTACTTCCTCACCTGATGAGTGTGGGCATGCTGGTGGGATCGGAGGAGGGAGAGGAAGGGAAGAGAAAACACCCACACCTGCGCTCACGCCCGCACCCACATCCCACACTCATACCTGTGCCTAGCCCCACCCACGCCGACATCCACATCCACACGCATCCTAGTTGACGAGGTAACGAAACTAGATGACGAGCCATAAGTAAAAGATAGCTATCAAACTTCCGTAGTGACTCGTTGCGGTTGCGTCGTGATTTTTAGCGACCCGTACTGCACGGTCGAAGAACAACAGAAAACTTGTCCGAAGCGGCCGCTATCGTGACGAGCAACGATAAAACAAAAATGATGAGAAAGACATTTTATATCGAAGTAAATAACGAGACTGGAAAATAATCATTGTTTTTCTTATGGCTATGCTGGCATCTTATTACATAGGTTTCAAGAGTTGAATCCTGACACTCCCGTATCTGAAAAACGACTATAAGACTCTCCGCAGGTCGAAAGATTCTTGAAGTACTTTCTCATGTGTTAATGTCACTGTAGTAAAGATGCTCTCTGATACCCATATCCCACACACCTCATATGCCCATGAATTTATTTAATATGACTAAAATCAAGCAAGTTTATTTAGTTCAAAGCATATATAAATACGTTTCAGAATTAAATCATTTTTTTTATTTCCCAAAAGCCTGTCTTACTATTAATCAGTTAAGAATAATATATGAAGAAAATAAAAATTCATTATAAAGTTTGTTACATGAGTTATTGCAAATAATTAAACTATGAAACTGTACGAAAGCGCTTGGTCAACTTCTGAATTTCCACCATAAATTCAGTTTTGTAGTTTTTCGACGGTAAAACAAAGTTAACAATAACATTTGTAAAAAAATTAGCTGAGTAAATTTAATTTTTAATAAAATAATCATACATATTGAACTAATTGATGATACTAAAAGGTAATAACCACAACCAACTTCTTTTGATTTCTTTTTAGAAAATGTTATTATCGAAAAAAGTCCACTAATTAAACCTCACATGAGAATAATCAAATTAATAACAAGACTTATTTTTATAATCAATGGTTGTCGAGTAAATATAACATTTGGTTTGATATGATATTCAAGAATAGAATCAAGTGAAAATATAAAACCTTTAGTTGAAAAATGCACATTTATTGCCATAATAACAATTTTCACATATACATACTGATTTGGTTGCACATGTTTGATTATTTTGAAAACATTGTGCATTATTTATAACAAGCATAATTTGTTGTATGATTAAAAATAAAACAATTAGAAAATCGATCAAAATCACAAATACACATATGATCTTTATCATAAAAACACATTATTTGAGAATGTTGTCAACATAAAAGTGGATAATATTTTGTACGATTAAAATATTCATAACTAACAAATGTTTTATTAAGGATTTCTTCAAGAGAAGAACAACGTTGTTTTGATAATATTTGAGTATAAATTTTCTCTAACGATATAAATCTTTGTCTTATTACAGACAAATAATAATCTTGATTAGGTACTTGAATAAAAATAAGATTAAATGATTGTGCTACACTAATTCTAATGATAGGTTGATCAAAAGAAATTCTTTTAACTATAGTTGTTTGTTCATGTCTTGTATCTTGAAAGGTTGTGATAAAATGAATGAGTAAAGATGATGTTATTTTTGTTATTGTTTCATCTAAATGTATAATAATTTCACTGTTTATGTTGTGACATGTTTCACTTGATTAACCTTCTGTACAAAACCAAGTAAATGTTTTTAAACTAATTCTATCATCAGTTGGTTTACATAAACCATTATGTTGATATAGATTATTGTTTGAATCACATATTGAATGTTACAAATAAAATTTAGGACCAATTTTATCTAATGGACAAATACAAGTAGATGAAGTTAAACAAAATGAATCATTTGCATATGAACATGTATGTTGTATATTACATAAAGAACCAGAATATCCTTGATGACATTGGCAAAAAAAATAATAATTTATTATTTGTATATGTCATACATCGACTATGATTTTCACATGATAATGAACATGATTCTTTGTGTTCTTCTTCTAGATCATAAGTAAATAATTGAGTAGCAATACGATTAACTGGTAAAAATGAAAATGGTATAGATAAATACCAACTAGTCCAATAGTCTAAAGTGATTTTATCAAAAGCATCAATACGAATTGAATAATTGATGGATAAATTTGTGGGTTGACTTGAATAAAGTAAATAAATATTATATTTAGTATTACAATCATGAACAGACATATATGATATTTGTTCATGATTACCAACAATTTGTCCTTGTTCATCAATAAGCATAATAATTGTTTGAAAAATGGTCATAAGAGACACCTTTGTACGTAATGAGAACTGGAGAGTTAAACTAATACATTGATTTTGCCATTGACATCGATTACCAAAATAACTTGGTGGACAAATTCATTGTTTTGTTTTATTCATGCCACTTAGAACAAGAATACCTTGATGACAATATCAAAGTAATGCAAGATTAATGTTAGGTAAAATGTTTTTCTTTTGATTCACTTTAGAAATAGACGAAGCAGAAGAAATATTGGTAGTTAATATAGGAAAATTACCAAATCGCCAGATATTCAAAAGGTGTGGATGTCAAGTGTTTCTTAAGTTACACCCACTCACACCCGTTTATGCAAATCTAAGAAATAGCTCTTTATCCTCATAAAGTCTATAATATAAGCTTCTGTTAGATTAAGAGTTTTGAAACATGTCAAACCGTTAATTATTTCAATGATGACTATATCAGAAAGCAATCCAGGACATTTTTGTGTATGGGAACATACAAAGCCAGGCATAGCGCTCTTCTCAAATTCACTGATCGATAGATTAGTTATAGATAGACAAATTGAAAAAAGTCAAACATGTTAGGTCGCTTAGGTATTGCAAGCCATTCTGATGAGCAATGTGTTGTTAAAGGTTCACATTCTTTGTCCCATACACCTGGTAAAAATAATATTGATGAAGATAAGTCCATCAGAGATCGATTGTAGCCTTAAATATGAGAAAAAAAAGTATGTTATGAAAGAAAAAACGATCACTCATGTGAATGCATATTAAATGATATTATTTTGACAATGTAAAGTACTGAAAAGCATCAAAAACTGTTTTAGTATAGAATATCGGCCAGCGTGTTTTTAACTTCTAGTTATCATTTTCTTTTCATCGTTCCAATGTACTGATAATTAACATTAATGATTGTTATTAAGTGACTAATGATTTTCAGACAATTATTTACTAAGTAACATGCAGTTTAAAACTAATGGACTGATAATTTACATCCACTTTTATTAAAAGATGTCGTGAAAACTTGATTTTAACTTCAACATGAAATTTACAGATGTTTCACTGATCCTTTCATGTGGAGAAACGATTCGTAGACATCTTTGTCATAAATACCAAATTACCTACAATTTCAATAGTGAAATTAAACATACTCCGTAAATTCAAAAATTGTCCATTTAACACTTTCTACAACTTTAAGGTTGATAAATCTCTTCAATCTAAAACCGTTGTTACAAAAATTCGTTTTAGTCTTATTGAGATATAGGCCAGTAAAAACTTTTCTTTACAGATTTTTGAAACTTATTACTATTTTACTCAAGATGCAAAATCAATCAAATTAAAACTTTACAATTTGAAAGAGCTATTAATATTCTATCCAACCATAAAAAATAAAAACTTCTGAAGTTTTGCAGAAATACAGTAAGCTGAAGCAACCTAGAAAAAATAAATGAATCATGCTGTACTTATTTAATGATCAGATATTAGAGATGTAAGAGATAATAAAAAGGTACGGAACATATAAAGAAGATCTATTTCTTTTATATCGCGAGATGTCATAATATCTATAACTCGGGTATTGCAATTCACAACATAGCTGTAACGATGTTTCCTTAATGAATACACGGTATCCATATACTGCTAAGTTAAAAATTTCTAGTGAATGTAGTATAGCGAGATGGATACCCGACTCGATATCCATCCCTTATAGAGTTGCAGACTTTGAATAAATATGATGTAATGAGATGGATATCCAGCTCCATACTCATATATCTCCAAAGTTCAGAATATTGATACACGGTTATGGGGTACTCTTATCTTGATACTACAAACTCCATGTCAGGAAACTCACATACAGCCACAAAATCTTACTTCCATCTATTTTTTCACTCAGACCCATACCCTTACCAATACGAGTGTCAGTTTCTTGGTTCTATTCTCCGGAGCCTAGAACTCAGAGTGGGTTCCATTCCTTGGGAATGGAACCCTAGAGAACGAGGAACTCGGATACTCCTACTCACCAAACTTACACTTTCACCTTCATTCTCACGCTCACCGTCACTCACCGTCACTCACATCCTCATACGCTCAACCATATCCACACTCACACTCACATTCATACCTTCACCTAGATTCAGATCCACATCAACACGAAATTCACTCGAGGTCTTCCATTCCGTAGACATGAAATCGTATTGAATATCCATCTTGATACCCATATATTGATCGAGTTGAGGATTTTGAGTAAATTAAGTGCAATGAGTTGGATATTCATCACATTACCCGAAATTCACTCAAAATCCTCAAGTTTATAGATATATCGATATCGCGATTGATACTCAACTCGATGTCACATATCAATACAGTTAGAGATTTTGAGTGATCAACTAGGGTATTAGCACACGAGGATTATTTTACAAGAGATATACAAAAAATTGAACCAATGAAATTTCATGTGTTTGTTTTCCGTGTTTTCTTCTTGCTATGCACTTGAAATTGTTCTTCTATGGTAATATCTTTTTTGGGTTATTGAATGTTTTTCTGTGCTTCGTCTTAGAAACAATCTGTATTCAATACATCATTCTCAATGATTTTCAAGGTTAAATTTATACTCTTCTAGAAATTAGTTTTCTTAAAGTTTACGAAACTTGACACTATTTTACACAAGCCATCGATTATATGTTATAATCACTAGTTGCTTAGTTCAATGATAACTGTTAATTGATAGCGGACTCAATCACTAGTTACAGTGTATACTCTTTCGATCAACGAAGTTATATAGTTGCTGCAGAACGTGAAGTTGTCTCGAAATCAAAGTCAAATGACATCGTACCAGTTGACAGTACCACAGAAACAGACACACACGCGAGATGACACATAAAGAGTAATGCTACAGATGAAGACGCCACAAAAACAGAAAAACATTGTATCACAATTACTGTAATGTCTTTCATATCTCTAATATCATTTGTATCTACGTGTTGTTTGATATCGATTATTCATATATTAATGCATTTGTCGTAAATTGGGCTGTGCTGTATATATTATAAGAGATATAAATCTTTTATCTCCTATATCTGTAATGAGTTATGCCAGGACTTGAGGGAGCTTCTGTGAAAATCGATAGAAAACATCTAATCGAAAGATAAGAAAATGTTCAATGATTAGAATTTAATCAGCTAAAATTATCAATCAAGTCTATAGTTGTTTTTAACTAATCAAAGTACACCTAGTGCATAGTCACAATCCTGTTTCTGCAGTTCATTAAACTACTTGACATTTATATTTTATTTTTTTGTATACTCTAGCATAATTTCGTTTGTAATGAAGTGCACAATAGAATGCTTGTTGACAATTCGCTTGTGATATATGATGCATAAAAGTGAGTAAGATTCGAGATATTTCTCTGTCTCGTCGACTGTTACAAGCTCCTGTATGACTTGCTAATGTTTCTTCAAAATAGTATTGAACATCACCACATTGAAACACTACGAGGATATCGACCAATACGTTCTTCACTTATAAAAGTTGAAGTCATCGAACAATGTCGGTTGAACATTTTAGTATAAGTTGAATACTGTTCTTCGTCGTCAATACCATCTAAACAATCGATGCTGTACGGATTATCTCTATCAAATGTTCGAGGAATGCATTGACCATCATAATGATATCGATATTCATCATCAGCACATTTTGTCATTTCTAACTGTTCACACCACTGCTCATCTTCTGCATTTGTACAATCAGCTTTTCCATCACATATTTCACGCCAATCAAGACATAGAGGCCATACATCATGATTACAATTATCTATAAATCGATGACATGTTTCATCAGTAATGTTAATGTTAATTTCTGAACGATTTTTGAAAGTTGCATCAACAATATCACCACATGATGGTAATAAATCATAAAGAAATTTATATTGACACATAGAACCAAACTATGGTGGTGAACAATTGTAAAAACCTTCTGCAGTTGTACTATTGATTTCATAGCTTTCTGCAAGATCAATAGGTGCCGACCAACGAAGCAATTGTTCACTAGTGACATTTTGTTTCTTTAATTCGTTAAATGTTATTGGTTTTCTTTGAGTTTCATCTTCGATATTTACTATATCTTTTTCTTTTTGACCATAATCTGGTCTTCGACAATAAGGAGTTAAATGATAATTACGAATATAAGGTACAATATCTTGTTTTTCACCAACCATCATATAAGCATATAAACAATCAAATGTAGGTTAGAACGATTGACGATGATCAAAATAATATAATGACTATCCATTCAGAACACATGAAGCCAAAAATATGATTGTACGTAGCATCATTATAGTTAGATGACTTGATAACAATACACTGAGTGCTCCCCGCTTTTGACTCTACCTAAAGGAATATGAATGACCAAACGTTCTTTATTGTCAAGACACAAAATTAATAAATAAATATCTCAATCCTTCATTTATGATAAAAAAAAGTCATGATGGATTGTTAGTGTCATAACAAATCTTTTCTTTTTTTTTTTATTATTATCATATTTTTTTTATTCAGTGACGCTTTCGCGGGCTACACGGCCTTCTTCAGTCTTTACTGTTGTAAAATATCATGTACTATTTAAACCATGCATAGAATACGAGGGAAATATTTAACGGTTGGATAATGTTCGATTTTGTATAAAGGCTAGAAACAGTTCCCGATAAGACTAAGAAAATTTTAGAGCGACTTGAGTCCAGGATCGATTCTCGATGTTTTATGACGCTTGCAATGAAAGTTTTCACAGAAGGTACGGCATTTTCAAAAAAGTTAAAACAAAGAGTTTCGAGTTGAAACTATGTCTATAAGTATATTTGAGATTCATTAAATTATCCTGGAAGTTTTAACGAAAACGAACACGCTTTTCCCGAGATATTTAATATTTAAAAATACAGAGACTTACTCTAGAATGGCACAGTAATCAAGTCTATTTGAAAGTTGAATATCTCGTGAAAGACGTGTCCATTTATGTTGAAACCCGTGACACAATCTAATGGCTCTCAAACATACCTACGGACATTATTTCAATTCGAAATTCTTTGTTTTGAGTAAAAATTTGTTTGAAACGGTCATAATCTTCAATAGTAGACCATAAGCATGAATCGCTTTAAGATTTTCTCAGTCTTATCGAGACCTACTTATAGCTTTAGTGCGATGTCGTACTTAGGTGGGATAGATGAATATATTCCCTGTTAATTTTATGTCCTTCATCGGTTTTTTTAATTTTATTTTCTACTCTTATTATTAAGTAGTAGTGTGTGAGTGAAACAGTGCCAGATGATCAAAGTAAATTTCTCTTGTCATCTTCATGCAACGATTATTAAATAGCATTAATAATAGAAGAGACAGGAAAAAAAGAATAGAAGACAAGTTAAGATGTATGAGTTTCCTGATACAAGTATATATTTTATCTGACAGTAATAAACTCTAAATACGTCAGCATTGATCACGTGAATGTCACGAGAAGCAGAAAAAAAACATACTATAATAGCGAACAAGAGATTTATTAAGTAACTAATGTATGTTTATTTCCTTACCTATCAGTATAAAACAGATAGCCTTTTGATTTCTTTAAATATTGGTCAAATAATCCAGATTTACTGATGAATCGGAACCTTTCTAACTAGTATTTACTCTTAAGGTTTGCTTCATTTATAAAGTTGATAAAAGAGAATAAGGGACGCATGAAAAACATGATATTTAACTTAATAAAACAACAGACTAATTAACTTCTATGAAGATATGAAGTGAAATATTGACGCAGAATTTTCGACACATATTAGAAAATAGATTTAATATAGAATACGGTAGAAATGCAGAGCATAACATATTTTACTTATTGATACCGAATACTTTCATTTTCAAATAACACTAGAAGGCACACAAGTTCGCACAAATTGATCAGTGATCTTAAGTAATATGGAAATTCTTGTTCAGACGATTAAGTACCTGTTAGTCTATTCAAATTTTCACTCTTATAAAAGAAATGATGTGAGAAACAAAGTCGAGAGTTTAAAAAAACATACTCCTTGTTCGAAGTGGATATTTTACTCTCTTGTGAATCGTTGTTCCTATCAAGACGTTGCGATGCATATCATCT